GGGGCGGGAGGGGGAGATGGAGCTTTGGTTTTAGTAATGACCCATCATCCCCTAAATCTCTCGGAACATGAGCACGAGGGGCGTATCTATTATCAAAACCGTTTACACACTTGACGTCTCGTCTCACCCACCTTGCACGCGTGTTTCTGTGTGAAAGAGAGAGAGGGAGGGAGGGAGAGGGAGAGAGAAAAAGAGGGAGAGAGCGTGCATGCGTGAGAATGAGAGGCAAACGCAAGGCCCAAAATAGTGGTGTGGCGCCCAAGTGAGTGAAGCCGCCTCCTGCCCTGTCCTGCCCCGCCCTTCGCCACCACGACTGGCCCCTTCGCCTCACTCACTGTGCGGTCGGGCCGGGCACCAGTCTACACGACGAGCTCGTCATCAAGAGATGATGAGTCACTCCTGAAGGAGCACGTCGGCTCTCTCTCTTTTTCCCGGGCCTTTAGGCTAGTTGCTTTTGTGGCCGTCAGAAAGACTAGAGCCTCTTCTTCTTGGCTCGGGCTGAAAAATCCTAGCGGCGTTCCCGCCCCGGTCACGTGGGTGGGCTGGGGGTGGGAGACCGGTGATAACAAGTGCTTCAGTGTTCGGCCCAATCCAACCGTAGGACTAACTGCCCTCTCACTTCATCCCCCCTACAACTCCCCGTAACCTCTGCCTACCCCCACCACCGTATCCTCGGCCGTCAACTCGTGCGACCGCTTTTGTTCCCGCCTACTTCAGTCGTCAGGGGGCGCATGCAAAAATAGCGGCCCCCGCGGTCCAAATTCCTTACCGGCATCGCTCCCTTCTGCAGCGTGACGCCACGATCAGCAACGCCCGGCGCCGCGTGACACCGCTCCACGTCACGGTGTGGTCGGGGGGGGGGGGGGCAATTACGCAGACGAGTGTTGATGCATTGCAATAACGATGAGTCGCGCCCAGGCGCAGGTGACGACGGCCGGCGCACCGTACACTACAGCCCCCACCCGTGCCCTCCCCGAGCCCTCCCCCGCCTGACCCCTGGTCTCCGTGTGTTGGCACAGCGCTGCAGCGGCGCGGCACACACCGGGGCCCGCGGATGGCCCCCCCGTTCTACTGGACGACCACGACGGCGCCGAGGACGCGGAGAGAAGAGTCCACCCCGGGAGGTCGGTGTGGCCGCAGCCCCGCCCCCGGCCGTCCCCGCACGCGGCCCACTGAACCCGACGCAGCAGCGCCGCCATGGCAGACTCGTCCAGGACATCGAGGACGGCGTCGAGCCCGTCTCCTTCGTCCAGCCAAGGCCAGGAGCCCAGCGGTGGCGGCAGCAACAGCACCGCCGCGGCCAGCAGCGAGGCGGCCACCCGGAGCAGGCGGGGCACCGCCGTCACACCGCCCGCCACATCCTCACTGCTCGCCGCCAAGCTCAAGATCTGCTCGGCCGTGAACCGCGCGCACACGAGGGAGCGCGTCCGCGAGCAGAGCGCGCGCGCCGCGCTGCGAAGGGTGTCCACAGCCTCCACGACGGGCAAGCAGGTGGCCTCCGCGGCGGCCTCCTCGCGGAGTGGGGGCCAGGGCCTCGGCCTAGGCCGGCGCGACTCGCTGGTGCGCGTCGACTCCAAGCGCGGCAAGAAGCCCCGCGAGCGATGGCTGCTCACGCGCAAGACATGGCGCTACATGACGGACGCCGGGCGCCGGCTCATCCCGGAGGGCGCCCACAACCGCGCCGAGGACGTGCCGCGCATCGAGGCCTACTTCCAGGAGGTGTGCCACCGCGAGCCGCGCTTCCTGCTCTGGCGGAAGAGCTCCTACCCGGGGGCCCTCGGCTTCCGGGGCCGGACGGGCCGCTCGCGCATGGGCAGGAAGAAAGGAGGGTCGTGCCGAGACAGTCGGGACAAGTCGGGGACCGGCGCGGCCTCCACGGCCTCGGCCGATGAGGCGGACGAGGTGGCGGCCGCGGCCCGCGGCGGCGGCACCGTGTTCCTGCGGCCCGTGCTCGGTCCCGACGGCTCCGGGCGCTTCGACGTGCAGCGCGCCAAGAGGGAGTTCCTGCAGGCGGGACCCGCCACCACGCGCCTCGGCGTCGACCACTCGTGGGACCCAGAATGGAGAGACTCCTCCGCCTCCGAGGACAGCCTCGATCCGGAGGACAAGCTGCTGCTGGACACGCTCGAGATGTACCTCGCGCGGGACGAAGCGGCCCAGCGAGGGGAGGAGCCGCCCCCGGCGCCGCCGCCTGGGGCTGTGCTAGACGAGCAGGAGCTGCTGGACAAGCTTCGGCAGCGGCTCGAGGTCGTCCTGGGCTCCAGGGACCACGGATCGAACGGGACGGGGGCGAACGGCTCCTCGGCAGCGGGGGACGGCGGTGACCGCGACGGCGCGCACCTGCCGAGGAGGCGGCCGGAGGGCGTGCCGTTCAACGGCGACCACCTGCAGAAGCAGCTCCTGGAGACGCTCCGGCGGTACTACGGCAAGTCCACGGCCAGGCAGAAGGTCATCTCCGACCTCCTGACGGAGCGCAAGCTGCTCGAGAGGCTCCTGTTCGACACCCGCCGCGCCCGCGGGTTCGCGTACCGTCGCGGCGGTGGCGGCGGGGCCGGCGCGGAGGGCGGCCAGCCGTACGTCAGCTCCATGAGCCGCACGGACCCCCGCTGGAGGCAGCAGGCGGCGCTGCGCGGCGGCCGCGACGCGTCGGGCGGCGGCTACGACTACCAGGCCTCTGCTGGCCTCAGCCGAGCGCCGTCCTTCCGTCGCCTCCGGGGCGCCACGTCGCCGCCCCCTCTCATCGAGGTGCACCCGGAGGGCGAGCCCGGCGACGACGAGGACGGCGGCAAGAGAGCGGCGGCGGGCCGGGCACCGCGCGGCCCCACGCGCAGTCAGCGGGGCACGCAGACCGACCCCCTGACCACCGCCATCCTGGCCGCCGTTGACGAGGAGCGCAAGAGGCGCGCGCAGGAGGAGGCGGACGAGGAGGATGGCGGCGGGGGCCGGCCCCGGGGAGGGCCGGGGGCGAACCGGCGCCGCTCCAGCGTGGACAACGACGACGTGTCGCCGTCCGTGAGCGACACCATCAAGCGGTACCTGCGCATGGCCCGCAAGAAGAGCATGGACGGCGACAAGGCGGACCGCTTCAAGCGCGTTAACTACGACCGGAACCTGCGCAACATTAAGGCGAAGGGGGAGATCACGCTGCCGGGAGACGACGACGGGCTCAACAAGGGCGCCCAGACGGACGAGTCGTGGGTGAACGCCGTCAAGGAGCTCAAGTACGAGGGCACCGGGGTGGGCTCCAACCCGGACACGGACGAGCTGGCCACCACGAGCAGCAGACTCACCAGCTCCAGGAGCAGCTTCGACACGACGGCGACCGGCGGCGACGAGCTGGCCTCGCCGTCGCAAATCTCGCCCGCCACCACCTCCGCGAGTAGCACCCCGCTACAGTCCCCCAAGGGCCTCTTCTCCTCCGGACAATCGTTCCTCTCACACCTTCTGCACGGGCTGCACCAGCAGCAGCAGCTTCAGCAACTGCAGCAGCAACAGCAGCAACAGCCATCGCCGCCTGGTGCGGCTGGGCAGGGCTCAGCCAGCCCCAAGGAAGGCTCCTCCACGTCTGTTGCTGTGTCCGCAGGGGCCATGCAGAAGTCCAAATCGTCGTCCTCCGTGGTGCAGAGCCTGGAGAAGATCTGGAAGACCCGCTCCAAAAGCCATTCCCGAGCTGCCATTGGTGGCCCGGGTACGGGCACGGGAGCGGGTTCGGAGCCGGGCGGAGGACCGCCACAAGCCTGCTCGTGGACACCACAGGTGAGTGCAGCAAACCTATTACGTGCGAATAACTCTCTAAAATGTTGGCAGTGTCCTTCGTAGTTTGTTTGTAAATCGTTCCAACTGGGAGCAGCTCGCCGTGTTGTGTACTCCCCTTTAATGAAGGACATGGCGCCCACGGCTGTCGCTCCCGTCTCGCTTCAAGACGCAGCCAGTTTTCCGATCAGGATGTAGGAGCGAGCAATGCTGTTGCTATAATTACCTGCAGATTGCGAAAGTTGGCAGGCGCGCCGGTGTCCACTCAATACGCGTATAAATACAGTGATAAGTGGCCAGTTATCACGGGCTGCTTGCTGCTATTGTCGCAAACAGCTGGGCTCGACTAATAGCGTTCTGCAGCGGCTTGGCGGGGCGTAGCGGGGAGGGGCGGGAGGGTGGCGAGGTGGCCCTGGCCGAGGGCCCTGGCCAGCTGGTCAAGCGGGGCGGGGTGGACTTCGCTCAACCTCAACCTGGCGGTGGCAGGGCGCGGTGGGGCACGGCGTTGCAGGAGGATAGGCAAGCACTGGGAAACAAGATCTGCGCGCCATTCGAATCCACCGACTCATCGTACGTGGTTGCGCGTCTTCCTATGGTCGTCAGTATTTTGAAGAAATTTGCAGTGGACGCCGCCGCCGTGAGCGACAGCCAAACACTCGACGTGCTCTCGTGGCCCCCGTGACAACTGAGGGGTGGAGGCCGCCGTCAGTGATTGAGCCGGCGGGTGCGCACCCATTAGCCGCAGGACGACGGCCGCCCATTGAGGACCGTGCCGCCCGCTGCATGTGGCCGATGGAGGAGGGTTGTTGGTCGTTGTTGAGTGAGGCCCGGCCCCCGCAGCCGCACCGCGCCGGCCCGAGGAGGGCCCCTACCCTCTCCGCCGTGGCGGGACTGGCCCGGCGTGGCGCGGACCAGCGTGGCCCGGCGGGACCGGCAGGACCCATGGCCTGTCTATTCCTGTCCCGGCGGCCAAGTCGCAGCGGTTATATAGCGCGCCAAATATAAGTTGACCCAGTCTGGCCACACTACACCGAATCTCACCGGCAGGCCGCTACCCCTGAACGCCAGGCTCCGCCCCGCCACGCCCCGCCCCCGTGCACGCACTGCTGAGGGGTGCATGGCCATGTCTTTGAGGGGCTCGCCCCGCTGCCCCGCCCGCCCCGCAGCGACCTGTTGAGCGTCGACGCGACCAGCGCGGCGCGGCGCTCTGACGTCAACGCGGGCCGCGGGTGCGTGCGGCAGGGCCGGCGGGGCCGGCGGGGCCCTGGCCGCCGAGGGGCCGCGGGCCGCAGGGGGGCCGCAGGGGCGAGTGCACGACCCGATTTCTTCCCTACGCCTCTCACACTCCGCGCGTCCCGCTCGCCTTCAATGTGAGAATGTCTAAAAATAATGTTAAGATTTTACACGCTTTGGGCTTGTTTGAAAAGAGGAGAGAGAGAGGGGGGGGGGGCGGATGAAGAAGGGGTGCGCGTGTATGCGTGTGGAGGAGAGTGTGAGAAACGTCATGTCAGAGGAGGAAAACCGTCCATGCCTGTTGTGTATGCAGTGCTGGCCTACGTCACCGTGGCCGGGCGCGGACCCTCCACCCTCCGCCGAGCATAAAGACGAGGCCACGGCGGCTCTGCGTTATCTAAATGCATACCCCCCCTCCCTTCCACCATTCCTCTCAAACGTCACGTCGTGCACGATTTTGTAGTTTATTCAAATTCCTCCCGATGGCTCCGGTTCAGTCGCCATACCCATCCTCAGCGCGCGTGCTCGCCACTACTTCCAGCCTCCACCTGCGTCGTGCGTGGGCAACCTTCAGCCTTCAGCGTTTGGCCTTCAGCCCTCGGCTTTCAGGCGCGCTCTCACTCCCACCTCATTACTCAGGCTGCCAATTGCCCTTCAGGCTCAGAGAGCCGCTTCAGCCGGGCTTCAGCCGGGCTTCAGCCGGGCTTCAGCTCGATCCCTGGGCCCTCCTAGGCTCTCCCGGTCGCGGCAGGGCAAATCGTGTACGTCGGCTAACAAAGCAAAGAAGAAGAGCGATCGGTTGGTCGTGAGCTTCCCGCCTCTACGTCGAGCTTGTAGAGGGGGTTAAGGGTCGACTAATCAGGAACCTTTATGTTCTACCCGCTATTCTTCTCTCTCTGTCATACGTACACTGAAATGCAATGGCAAAAAAATAAAACACAAAAATCGACTGATGTGTCTGGAAAGCGTTAAAGCCACGTGCAAGGTGGGAATAAACAGAAGGGGAAGTTATTACAAATAAAATTCTGTCCCGTCCAAATTTACATCTCTCTTCACTTGAATCCAGTACTCTTTGTGGGGGCGGTAAAGTACTATATTAAGCGTTTTCTTGTTTCGTAAAATAAGGTAGTCTTATGTTAGCTTCGTTTCACGTCTTAAAACTTTTCGACCACAACGCCGCACTATGGAGGGCCAAAAGTTATCTCCTTCTGGCTGGAGAATCTTGTCGAACGACGCGAGCTCACGCCACTTGAGCGGTGTGGTGAGTTGGTCGCGGCCGGCCGGTGTTGGTCGCTGCGCGGCGGCGGCAGTCTGGCTCAAAGCCAGCGGAATAAGTACAGTCAAGTCAGAAAGGTTTTCACGCCGAATGCCGGCGCGGGATTCTAGTGTCTTGAAGCACCGGACCGGAGAGCGGCTCGACAGGGGCAGGTAGTGATGGGCATCGTGATTACGTCGTGCCTTACAGAACACCCATACGACGTAGCAAGAACGAAACAAATTAAAACCAGAATGAAAAATGATGCTTTATGGACCCGTGTAGTTGATTTGCCAGCTGCAATCATGTCGGAAGCCACGAGCTCGCACAACTCGTAGTGGTATGGCATGGGAGCGTCCAGAAGGTACTTTCAGGAGCTCGGCGCCTGCGAGACTCGGAGTAGGCCAGCCCGCAATACGCGTAGCAGGCGCTACGAAAGCTTGCAAAAGGCTGCACTTAGCCAGGTTCGTAGCGGCGAATGACGGACGTGCCTTCTGGATGATTCTTGATAGTGTGCCGCACCCAGTCGGTGTTGGTATTCAAAAATTCTACACATTAAAAAAGTGTGGAACAAATTAGCACTTGTTCTCAACAAAAATAACAGCTATAATAACAGTGCGAATGTTAATTTTGTTATGTGGACATGTTTAGCGATAAAGACGCGACAGGGAAACTCAGGTGCTACCATGTCTCGGCTGTTCTGTTTCCGTGGGCTTATTGCAATTATTATTACCGCCAGCGCACTCTCTTTCCTCCAATAAGTGACTGTCCCGCCCTGTCGCACGAGAACTGCACCTGGAGCAGCAGCCGCAGCCGGCGTGCAGCTGGCCGAGACCACGCGGCTAATGTCTCTCCTGCCTCTAACATTGTCTTCCCCGACCTGCCCGCAGGGGAGCTGCACCTGGAGCAGCGGCAGCCGGCGCGTACAGCTGGCCGAGACCACGCCGCTCCTGCAGCTGAGCGAGGTGGAGCGGCAGGTGCTGCAGAAGGTGGCGCTCGCCAAGCTGCAGGCGCTCAACCTCGGCGTCGCCATCAGGATCCCTTCCGGTCAGAGACAATACGCAATCGCTCAGTGCGCACGCCGCCGCGCGCCAGGGCTGCCAGCTGAGGTGCATTGCGCCGCTAAATAGCGCGCGTCGCAAACGCGTGTTGCGGCGACCATGTACGTGGGGTGTCTAGGGTTTCAGCAGTTGGCAGCCCTGAATGCATTTTAACACGTTGTTCCCCTTTGAGGGCGGCGCGCCGCGCGCAGCTGCGTGCCGCCGGCAGCCTGATGCACTTTTAAAATGTTTTTGTGAAGCGCTCGGCGCGTTGTTTGACTTGCGTGTGCATGTGTGTGTGCAGAGAAGGTGGTGGCGGAAGTGGCGGCAAAACCGAAGCGGCGCGCTTACCTGCTCAAGAGGAAGGCGCTCACCACCGGGGTGGTGGACGGGCGCAAGGACTCCGACAAGGACAGCCGTGAGTAGCGACAGCACTTCGTCCAGTAAATGTATTGTGCCGGAGCTAAAGATGTGACAATGACGCCATGGAGAGACAATGAAAGGGTATGTTCTCTCCTCCACAGCGGCGTCCGGGCTCGTGTTCGGCCTACCCCTCTCGCAGTGCATCGAGCACGAGCGGGGAGTCCGCGTGCCGGGCAACAACGTGGCGCTGCCCGGGCGCGGGGGCGCGACGCCGGGCCGGGGGTCCGTCCCGGGGACGCACCGGGCGGGGCTCGCCGGGCTGGCGGGGCTGGTGAGCCGCGGGGGCGCCTCCAGGAGCTCGGCCGGCGCCGCGGAGGACGTCGGCAGCGGCGGCAGCGGCAGCGTCGAGCTCCGGCGGAAGTCGCACCACGGCTCGCGGGCCAGCTTCAGCTCGCTCGTCGAGGCACCCAGGCTGGACGACGTGAGTACCTTCCACCTTCCTGTCCGGCCACCCAAAAGCCACAATGGGCGCTTCAAAGTTTCACTACAACCCACCAGAAATAATAAATATACCAAACTTTTGAGCACACACTTTTGCAAATGTTTCCGATATTGATCAGGAGCGTACTTAGCTCCGGCCGCGCATTCTCTAGTGAATTTTATTTCCAGTCACAAGGACGTAGTGAACACCTATCATTTTAAAGCCCCCTGCCCTTTTCCCAGCAGGCCGGGTCCGTGGAGGACCTCTTGGGCGGCGCCATGGCGGGCAGCGTACCGGGGCAGCTCAACTCGCTATCGTCGACCACCTCCTGCTCGGCCACCGACTTCCTCGACGACGAGATGAGCGAGCTGGTGGCCGAGCCGTCCCGCGTGCCCTGGGTGCCGCACGTGGTCACCACGTGCTTAAGGCACCTCACCAACAACGGCCTGCACACCCTGGGCATCTTCAGGGTTTCCAGTTCCAAAAAGAGAGTGCGCCAGGTGAGAGCTACCCGCCATGCTAGGCTGGGCACGCCCGCCGCGCCGCGGACCCCGCGCGCCCAGCTGATAGGCCTCCAGCCCGCACGGCTGTGCTGCGGGCTGGCCTACCCTAGCCGCTGCGGGCGCCATGTGCCCCGGACTCTGATTGTCGATAATGTCTCATCGACCGTTCCCCCCTTTCGTTGCAGTTACGAGAGGACTTTGACGGCGGCCAGGAGGCGTCGCTGGACGACGACCTGTGCCCGCACGACGTAGCCACGCTGCTAAAGGAGTACTTCCGGGACCTGCCAGACCCCCTGCTGTGCAGGGATCTGTACCAAGCTTTTGTACAAACACAAAGTGAGTGGGGGTGTGGGTGGACCAACCAAAAAATTACTTCAAAGTGACAAGAGTCAGAAAATCAGATTCATATCCGAGATTCCGAAGGAAATGCTAGAAATTTACATGGTTTTAAAAAATGGCTGCAGGAATCCGCAACAGACGGCTGCAGGCGGAGGCGCTGCAGCACCTGGTGCAGCTGCTGCCGCCCGCGCACCGCGACACGCTGCACTCGCTGCTCGTCTTCCTCGGCGAGGTGGCGCGCAACGCGGCGGACCGGCGCGGGGACACGGGCGAGTGGCTCGTGGGCAACCGCATGGACAGCAGCAACCTGGCCACGCTGTTCGCGCCCAACATCCTGCACTGCATCCCGCCCAGCGGCCAGGCCGGCGGCGACGAGCTGAGCGCCGAGCGCGCCGAGGAGCGCGCCGACACCATCAACGTCGTGCGCTCCATGATCGACAACTCGGACTTCCTTTTCCAAGTGAGTGTTACACGAGGGGTCCTTCACTCAAAAAAATCAGTGTACACCCTTAGAAAAAATCACGAAAAAATCATGAAAAAATCATGAGAAAATCATGAAAAAATCAATAAAAAATCTTTAAAAATTAACGGAGTCAGAAAAAAAATCAAAAAAAATCACAAAAATTCACAAAAATTCAACAGAAAATCACAAAAAAATCAAGAAAAACAGAAAAAAATCGGTGTACGCTACAATTTATAGTGAAGGACCCCTCGGTGTTATTCTACCCTCTTTCCATGGGCGGATGGTTGAGAGACAAAATGATTGCCCGACCGTCAGTACAGAGCAGCGAACGCGGCTCTTATGTCAGAATGGCGGCCCCCTGCTCCTTATTGGACCCCGTTTGCTTTTTCCGAAACATAACACCTGGCGCGTGCTTGCTTGCAGGTGTCGGCGGAGCTGTTGGATGAGGTGTACATGCACATGATGGACTCGCATCCGCAGGCGCTGGACCAGCTGCTCAGGAGAAGAGCCGCGGAGTAAGTTGTGCGCACCCCATGGTCCTGGTGAACACGCAAAGTCGTGGTGCTGGTCATCGGTCCCCGTCCTCACTGTCCCCGCTCTCCTCGTGCCCAACAGGTCCGGCGAGGACGTGGAGACCGAGGTGGAGGAGCATGTCTCCCACATGGCGGAGAGACGGGTGTGGAGCCGCGAGGAGTTCCTGCACGAGCGATGCGCCACCCCGGCCGACGAGGAGCCAGTCAGGTGAGGGGCGGGGAGGAGCCACCAGAGGCAGCTTAGTACAACCCCACTATGGAATGTCAGTTTTCGTGCAAAATATGATATCCGACGCTCCAAGCCACACGCCCCCTTAGTAGCTACACAGTTGTAGCTACAATCGGCACGGCCGCATGCAGCTTCATCCGAACCAAAACTGTCGGCCCTGAGATCGACTCCCGGCCGGGGCATTCCTTTGTTTTTTGTCGCTTCTTGTCTCCCGTTTGGCAGGACCGAGCTCAGAATTCCCACTAGCAAGGTCAGGCTGGCAGCCGAGCTTGCTAATGCGTGTTCGTTGACAGAGCGCTGGCATGGTCGCTGGTTCGAATCCCGTCCGCTGAAATTTTTTCTCGCTTTGCTGGCCATTTATCTTCGGTCGTCAGCGACAGCTAAGGTCCGCTTGTCGCCGGGGTCTATTTGCATTATCGTTCCCCCGTGGCTGAGTAGGTAGCGTCCCGGCCTTGTGTGAATTCGTTCGCTGGTTCGAAACCCACTCGAGAAATGCTTTTGGCGCTCGGCTGGCCACGAGTTTTCAGTCGTGCGACACCTGATGTGATGGGCCGGTACGCAAACAGTCGCTGGTTCGAATCTAGTCGACGGAACCCTTTTGCCACTCTG